TCCCAGCCAGGGCTGCACAATGGAGTTGCATATTCATGAAGGCAGCACATTACACAGTGGCTAATGGCACTCTTTGAGATCCTATCTGCTGCTTCCAGCAGCCCTTGTGGTGGTTGTTATCAGTCCCTTGCTATCTGGGGTCTGCCCTGGATGAATAAACATCGGAGCTCTTCCACTCAAAGGCCCTTGGTGTGTGGAGTGCAGCAGGAGATGCTGGGTGGAGATAAAGGGCAGCAGCCTGGAAGCAGTGGCTGCAGCCCAGGCTGATTCCTGCCAGCCTTCCTGTGTCACCCGTGGCCAAAAACAGGGCTGATTGTCCTTCTCACCCCACGGGGAAGGCTCTGCTCCGCGAGAAGGTCACAAATCTTGTGGGAACCTGGGACAGAGATGTGGGGGAACATGCTTTAGATGCTGCTCCAGCCCTTGACGTGGCAGAGTTGTGTGGCCACTGTGCCCCACAAGGCAGGAGATGACAGAGTGTGGCAGGAGTTGGAAAATCCTGTTGGCTTGCAGGATATTACCACAGGGCAAGAGGACATGGCCTCAAGCTGTGCCAGGGGAGGTTCAGGCTGGACATCAAGAGGAATTTGTCCATGGAAAGGGTGGTCAGGCCTTGGAAGGGGCTGCCCGGGGAGGTTTGGAGTCCCCACCCCTGGAGGTGTCCAAAGAAGGACTGGATGTGGCACTGAGTGCTCTGGGCTGGTGACAAGGTGGGGATGAGGCACAGGGTGGATTTGATGACCTTGGAGGTCTTTTCCAACCTCAGTGATCCCGTGATTGTCTGATCTGTTGGAGGTTCCCCTGGCACAGACCAACATGGCTGGTAGAGCTTCAGCATCCTGCACCACACAGGGTGGGCAGAGGGGGCAGGAAGAGCATTGTGAGCTCTGAGCCTGCACTGAAGGGATGACCCTGTTTGCCATCAAGGCCTCTGGTAGGAAATGAGTGAGCTGGAGGAAATCCAGGAGCTGGGGGGGGTGCTGAGGGAGCCAATCACCCCATCAGGTTCTGGGATCTCTGAGGGACCTGCGCTTTGGGAAGCACGAGGCATTACTGGAACAGAAGATGGCTTGTTTTGAAGGCTGCCAGGAGAAATCAGATCCTCTGCGGAGGGTGGATTGAAATCCATCTGCAATTAAGCCCAGGCAGTGCTGCCGTGTCTCCCCAGGATTGACCAGCCTTCGGAAATCAGGGACTGCGACGCTGGCTGGGGCAGCCCCCACCCCTCACCCAGGAGCGATTAGACATCCACTCCCACTCCCAGGAAGCTTGTTTCTCTGTCGCAGTGCTTGTAGCTAAAAAGCTTCTCTCACTAGACACAAGGAGATTTGGCCTCCAGGGACGGCTGCTGAGGCTTGGCTGGGCCGCTGGCAAACGGGGGCTGCGGCTTCAGAGGAGAGGGCTAAGGACAAAATTTAAAAAGCTTTGCTCTCCCTTTGTAGAAACCTTTGATTAAACCTTGGCAGCTGGGATCGAGCTGGTGCTCGTCTCCCCGGCCTCCCACCCCCTCCTACTTCTTCATCTCCCTCTCTTCTGGCTTTTTCTTCTTTCCTCTTTCCTCCCTTCGCTTTGGAAGGGAGCAGATCAATAAATAAATAAACCAACAGAAATGTTATTTTTCCGGCGAGAGGCGCCTTGAAGTTCATCAGAAATAACAATCCCAACCCCTTATGCCTGCGCAGGGGAGGGAGAAGGGATGGGATTAGTCCCCGGGGAAAAACACCAGCACAACACGTTGGGCCTGTTTCAGAGGGCTGACAATTTAACAGCAGCGTTTGAGGTCTTACTCAGTGGCTCGAAGATTTTGACATGAAAGGGACACCAGTCAAATGAACGGAGGGATCATCTTGCAGGATTAAACGTCCTTGTCACCGACCCATCAAAACACAGCATTATTTTGAAGGGACAAATCGTGTCGAGGTGTTTACAGCAGATTAAACCTGAAATTCCAGGGGATATTTGGCAGATAAAACAGCTGCAGGTGGCATCAGTGTGGCAGGAACACGGGGTGACTGCACTGTCTCCAGAAGGATAAGGATCTGCCTGGCCCTGGGGGAGCCCCAGCCATTCATCTGCCATGCAAAGGAGTTGCTCCCAAATCAACCCAAAGCTTTGTCCAGAGGATGGGGGAGTTTGAAATCCATAGTTTACAGTGAGTGGTGCGATGAGTCAAGATCTGAGCACTTTCATCTTGGGACTCGACTGCGTCAGACCTGCCCCAAAGTGCCACCTGGGAGAGTTTGCAAGGGGGACGCTCCTGCAGACATTCCTGAGCGAACACATATGTCCTGACAGAGGCACGAAGCTGTCTGGGTGCATTCCTGAGGCCAGGCACGTCCCTGTGTCCCACTGGTGACTCAGGGGCCCCCAGAGCTGAAGCCTGAAGTGTGGAGCCAGAGGATGAAGGCTGTGTGTGGGACATGGCCCCTGAGCCCCCTTCATCCCTTTCTCAGGGAACACTGGGAGTCAAGGCAAAGGTGGACAGGACCCTCCTGGTCCTTGTCATGCTCCAGCAATGCCACAAGTGAGCTCTGGGTGTGTTTGGCTGAATGAGGGAGCAGGTTTGAGGAGGGAGTGTCTCTCAGGACAACCTGCACATGGCGGTGCCGGTGAGGAACCACAGCACAGCAACCAACGTGTCGTGAGAGCATGAGAAGAGGGAGAAATAAGGGATATCTTGGCTCTGAAGTGCTGAACCAGCTCCTTGCCAGGTGCAGGTGTTAATGGGAGCTCGGCTTGGATAAGAGTGGCACACGGGCCACAGGAAGCTGGTCTCAGTCACTGGCTGTGGGTCAGCGGCAGTGGCCGTGGCTGAGAGGGATGGAGCCAGCGTTGGGGAAGCCATGGTTTCTCACCCCAGAGCAGGCTGCAGCTGATGAATGCTGTGAGTTCCACTGCTGCACACGATCCTTCATGGGCTGCAGCAATAACAACCCAGTGACCTGTGCCTTCACCCCTGCACGGCCGAGCTCGGCGCTCACGGGCGCCAGGCTTAGCTGGGTTTAATGGCCCCGTTAAGTGGCATCCAGGGAAATCAAACACAGGGACAGGTGCTCCATCCGGAGTGGTTTTCGTTATGGAGAAACCACAAGGATACACCACAGAGGGAATATTAACTCCTTATCCAGCCCCTGCCTGCAGAAGGAGACAGCACGGTGTCTCGGTTAGCAGCTATTGCTGTCAGTTGGTTGACAGGAAAATACTTGTGTGTAAAGCCTACCCCACAGCCTGTTCCAAGGGAGGATGTTGGCAGCTTGAGAGGGAAATACAGCAATTGCTAAAGGTCCTCCATGAAGATTGTCACAGCCCAGAACAAGCAAGGAAGAGACACGGGAAGAGGCAGTGGGAGTGTTCCTGTGTCAGCGTTGCAACATCGGTCGTGTTTGGGTAAAGAGAGGCTGAGGGGCGGGGAGAGCAAATCAGAAAACTGGAAAATTTCAAATATGTAAAAATCACAGTGAAGGAACAGCAGAGGTAAAATGCAGTCAGCCTGCTGAAGGCCTGGTGAAAGGAAATTGTGGAAATTCTCACCTCTGGAAGTGTCCAAGGCCAGGTTGGACGGGGCTTGGAGAAACCTGGGCTAGTGGAAGTCATCCCTGCCCATGGCAGGGGAGTGGAATGAGATGAGCTTTAAGGTCCTTTCCAACCCAAACCATTCTGGGATTCTGTGATTCTATGGGGGGGATGAAGACCTGCACATGGTGTTGCTTGAGCCTGTCACACAGAACCCCCAAAGCCAACAGGATAAGCCCTCACAGGGCTCCTGGAGAGCCCTGGAGCTTGTACCCATCTGCTCCGTGCAGAGAGAGAGGGAGGATGTCAAAGGTGATTGTTTCACTGACTTTGTCCCAGCCTGCCATCTCTCTGGGAAATCACTCAAGGAGGGGTGTGTGTGTGTCAAGCAGCACCTGCAGTTATTGTGTTTTAAAATTCTCCTTCCTGCAGAGAAATTCGGTGTGACCAGGCCGGCTGGTTCCCAAATCACTTCCCCCCAGGTAATTCACTCCCAGGAGCACTGCACGTCTCTCCTGTCCCCTCCCTGAGCCACCTGCTCGGCACAGGGACTCAAAAACCAGCACACGTGGGGCAGACAGAGCCAGAACCGTGGGACTCTGCTGGGGCTGGATGTCCTGCAGATATCCTGGGTTACACCTGCATTTGTGCTGCAGGACACCTGCATTTGTGCTCTGACTTAACAACAAGCTGCTGGGGTGGCTGCATCTCCTGCCTGCACCCTGCAATAATACAGGCAGCGGGGAGAGGAGCCTTCCCCGTGGCTCTGGTGAGGATCACGTCCACACAGGCAGACAAACAGCCCGGAGGGCAGGGAAAGGGCTGGGAGATGAGCAGGCAGCTTGGGAAGCGAGGCAGGACCAGCAGGTCCAACCGGCGCGGGGCAGCACGAAGGCAGCGAGGCAACTGTGGGGCTGTGCCCCAGGCGGGCTGTTCCCTGCCTGCTGTTATCACAGATAACCCACCGAGGCAGTGCACGGCTCCTCCAATCCGCGGGGGTGCAGCCGAACTGCTGCCGTGCTCTGGTTTGAAGGAAAAAGGGCTGCAGACAGACAGTTAAGGCTGCTGAGTGCTTTGCAGCATCAAAGGGTGGCCTAAGCTCCTCTCTGGTCCCTCTCTCTCCTGCCCAGCTTGTTTTGGTGCCTCAGGGATGATCACAGCCCCCTCCTCCACATCGCTTTTTAAAGAGCTTTCTGGTCCATCCCTCCAGGGAGTTCGTAGCTAAATGCTCAGCCTGGTGTTTGCTGCCTCCATGTTTCCAGAAAGGTGGATCCCACAGGGATGCTGTGATGGGGTCCCTGAGGAATGGTGCTACAGGAGAAACAAGAACCATCATCACAGAATTGCAGAATGGTTTGGGTTGAATGGGACCTTACAGCTCATCCAGTTCCACCCCTGCCACGGGCAGGGACACCTTCCACTATCCCAGGTTGCTCCAAGCCCCGTCCAACCTGGCCTTGAACTCTTCCAGGCATGGGGCAGCCACAGCTTCTCTGGGCAAACAAGGGGTTGTGACAAACCCTGGACATCCCATCCCTCACATCCAGGCCAGGCTTTGACCCATTTCTATGAGTAGAAACTGCATCTACACAAAAAAAGTGGGAGGTGAAAGATGTGAAGGGTCCATATAACCAGATTACAAAGTATTCTTCCATTTTCCACGTTCTGACAAGGAGAGGGAAGAGCAACAGCATTTCATGCAGATAGGCAAGGCCATCTGTGGCACAAACATCTTATCCTACCCTGGAAAATGAGGATGTGGAACCTGGAAATGAGAAAAGCACTCATTAGGCTAATGTGACATTAATGCTTCATGTCGCAGAGACTGTACTGCCCACGGTGAGCCTGCGACCTGAGAGCAGCAGGGGGAGAGGAGGCACTGCCAGGGCAGGGGCGGGAGTTGATGGGACACCCCCAGCTGTGGCAGCCTCATCCCTCTTCTGAACACACACACGTTTGGGGTTCCCCATTCCACCCCCCGAAGCCCCCGTTCCTTCGCAGGATCGCTGTCGTAGCAGTAAATGAAATGCTCTGTCCCTATTACGGTCAGGATATCGCTCTAAATTGACTGTTTTATAGCCCTGGGTAATTTAATTTTGTTATTTAGCGAATGGTTTGCCATATGCCCAGTGCCTGAGCAGTGCAGCCCGTGCACGGATCACAGCAGAGCTGCTGCCTGAGCACAGCTCCCGCCGCCCTCCGGGTCTCTGCCGTGCTCAGCCCCTGCTGCTGGCTTGGGGTGGTGGATTCCTGCAGGGAATCCCTGCCTGAGTGGGCAGAAAAGCCACTCAGAGACTCTCCAGGGACACCAAGAGCTGTGGGCGGATGGTCCAGCAATCGTCACCTCGAGGATGGGTGTGGCTGCTGCCAGGACGGGCAATGCACTGACTGGGCACCTGAGGTCCACCCAGAGCTCTGGCACAGGGCTGGGAGCCCAGGAAACGGGGATAGAGGCTACATTTTGGGCTGCATGTGCTTAATAAAGCCTCTGGTTAGGCATTCATCCAGCTTATCTCACTGCAAGCACTGCCACCCTCCCCCGGGGCGGCATCCCCGGGGCTCGTGGGGAGCCAGCCTGGCTTACAACACTCTGCCAACAGCAGAAGGGTTTTTCAGGCAGACTCTGATCCTCTGAAAACCTGGGATGGGTGGTGAGAAAGGAAAACAGCGGCGTGGTGAGACCCCCCTCCACAGCAGTGCTAAGTCTCGCTCAGCCTCGCTGCACCACGGGGCTCCCCCTCCCAGTGACTCAGACCAGGATTCGGATCATTTTCTCCTAAATGGCCTGGCTGTGTTTTTCCAAGTGGATCCCACTGTGCCTCCGCCTGCCTGCCGGCTCAGCGGGACCCTCTCCCTGTGTCCTCCATCCTCCCTGGTATTTTGATCTCTTCTCCAATTTAGTTTCATCTGCAAATTTCAGGAATGTGTTATTCAGGAGAGTCGTGTGTCTTAGTCATTTCAGCAAGCACTGCTTGGAAATATCGCTTTTGTTTCCATCTTATAAAATTTCCTCTACATTTCTGCAAAACCTCCTAATTTTCCTTTTATTGTTGTTTTTTTTCACTAAAGTGGGAGAAAATGTTTTGCATGGCAGTGGTCATAGTGCAAGTTATGTGAACAAGGAGTCCCTGGGGACTCCCTGCTCCATCTTGGATGCTCTGCTTCATCATGGGATGCTTCAAGACCCAATATGAGATTCCCTCAAGTCCCAAATCCCTCTATGCTGGGCACTGCTGAGGCACCTCCAGTGCTGTGTCCAGTTTTGGGCCTCTCACAATAAGAGAGACACTGAGGGGCTGGAGTGTGTGCAGGGAAGGAGACGGAGCTGGGAAGGGGCTGGAGCAGCAGGAAGGGCTGAGGGAGCTGGGGGGGGCTCAGCCTGGAGAAAAGGAGGCTCAGGGGGGACCTTCTGGCTCTGCAACCCCCTGACAGGAGGGGGGAGCCGGGGGGGGTCGGGCTCTGCTCCCAGGGAACAAGGGACAGGAGGAGAGGGAACGGCCTCCAGCTGTGCCAGGGGAGGGTCAGGTTGGACCTCAGGAGGAATTTCTCCCTGGAAAGGGTGTTCAGGCACTGGCAGGGGCTGCCCAGGGAGGTTTGGAGTCCCCATCCCTGGAGGTGTCCCAGGAAGGCCTGGCTGTGGCACTGAGTGCTCTGGGCTGGGGGACAAGGTGGGGATGGGGCACAGGGGGGACTCTGTGGTCTGGGAGGGCTTTTACAACCTGTGGTTCTGTGAAAGCCTTGTGGAAAATCCCACGTAAAAAGGTTTTGTCTCCGTCATTTAACTCACCCCATGTCCTGTGTGAAGGACATGACACCTCTGACAGTTCCACAGCCAATGCCAGCCGTGGGCTTGGACATCCAGGGCACTGCAGGCACAAGGGTAACTCCATCCCTGGAGCAGGTCTGGGTGGAGTCAGTGAGGATGTGCCACCTGAGTGTCTGCAGAACAGCAGAGTCCCTTGGCACTGGGAGCTGCTCCCCGTGCCCGAGACCTCCAGGGTCCTTGAGGGAACCTTCTGGTGATGTCTCCAAAGCAGAGAAGAAAAAGTGATGAGTAAAATCATTGTCCTAAACCTGCGAGACCTTTAGGACTCAAAGCTGCTTTTGCAAGTGCCCTGAGGGCTGTGAAACATTCAACCCCAGCAAAATATTGCTTTCACACTGGAAAGCACCTGCAAGTCCCTCTCAGCTGCTGCTTCTGTTTGCTCTCTCTGCCAAGATTATTAACGGAGGTGTTAAACAAGCAAACCCAGCACTGGTCCCTGTAGCTGCTCTGACACTGCCTGATCTTTGTAACTGTCCTTTGTTTGGTCAGATCTGCTTTTGGAATGGTCAGATCCCACACAGAGGTACAGGCAAGTCCACAAGGAAGGACTTCCCCATGGAGATGCAGATGTGGACAAAGTTCCTGAGGTGACTGTGGCTTTGCTGGGTGGGATGAGCATCCCCACAGCAGTGTCTCCTTCCCTGGGGCTGTCTGGGGGTGAGTGATGCCTTGAACTGCTGCTGAATGTAGGACAGTGTCCATGTGGCCCCTTTCTGGATCTTGGAGCCATCACATTGCTGTGTCCTGTGGGAAGACAAACCCTACACCTGCCCTTCCTCCACACAGAATCATACAGTGGTTTGGGTTGGAGGGGACCTTAAAGCCCATCTCATTTCCCCCACCCTGCCATGGGCAGGAACACCTTCCACTATCTCAGGTTGCTCCAGCCTGGCCTTGGACACTTCCAGGGATCCAGGGGCAGCCACAGCTTCTCTGGGCAACCTGTGCCAGGGGCTCCCCACCCTCACAGGGAAGGATTCCTTCATAACATCTAATCTCTATTTCCCCTCTGTCAGTCTGAAGCCATTCCCTCTTGTCCTGTCACTCCAGTTCCTGATGCAAAGTCCCTCTCCAGCGTCCTTGTAGCCCCTTCAGACACTGCAAGGCTGCTGTGAGGTCTCCAACCTTCTCTTCTCCAGGCTGAGCATCCCTGACATCCTCAGCCTGTCTCCCTCAATAGGGGAGGTGCTCTAGTCCCCTTAGCAACCTTGTGGCCTCCTCTGGGCTTGTTCCAACAGTTCCATGTCCGTGCAGGACATGGGGAGGTGATGTTACAAAGAGCAGAACAGCAGGAGAGGAGGAGCAAAGGATCCCACCTTGAAGGGGTCTCTCTACAGCAGCTCTGGGGTAGAGGGGGACCAAACTTGAGATGATCCCTCACTGAGAAGTCAAGCAGTTGTGAGGATGCACCAGAAGCCTGGGAGATAAACCAGGCAGTCCCATTGCATGGACCCTGACTAGGCTGGCTGGTAGGACATGTGGGAAGGAGAGCGAGGCAGAATCTCTCTGCAGGAGTCCCTGGCTCCAGCAGTCAGCTGTGACCCTGGGAGCAGGAGGGGAAATCCAGAGGGTGCTTGTTGTTCCACATTCCAGGTGTGTTTGGTGGGGGCTGGAGCCCGGGGACCCCCATCGGGTCCTCCTGCTGGGTTTGCCCTCTCTTTCCTGCTCAGGTTTTTCCAGTCACCACGGGAGTCTGAGCACCCACAGACGGGAAAAGAGGGGTCTGTCCCTTCGCCCCATGCCTGCCTGCCCCCATCCCTGCATCCCGAGTGCCAGGGCAGTGCCGGGAAGCTGCCAGGCATCTCCTGGGCTCATTACCGTGGAGAGGCGCGTGCCCTGCTCCCCGCGCATCGATCTGATAAATGAAGAGCCGCCGATGGTATTTTCTACCCTTTTAAGTGTTAAAATAACATTTTAGTGAAATATGAGCAGGTCAGAGCCGAGCTGCCCCCTTTCATCTCGCAGCACAAAGCAGGCTGGATGGGGAGGGAGCCTGTGCAGGCATGTGCTCCCACATCCATGGGGGAGGTTCCCGGGAGCTGAGGGCAGATGTGTTTGGGGTTGTACACAAGCAGTGTCTGTGTGTCTGTGGGACAGGACCAGGAGTCAGTGTGGGTGTGGAGGTGTCAGTGCTGCACCCGGGTGGGTGCAGAGGTTGAGCTGTGCACAGCCCTTGGCACAGGACAGGGAGGAATATCCATTTCCATACATACCATAGTGAAAACTTCCACATTTCCAATAGGTGCAGGGCCTTTTTAGAAGCTTTAGAAACACACAGAACTTTAGAAACTCCTTCAATCGTTCTGGTTCTTCCTTTTGCAGTTCCTTTGTGGAAATGCAATGGCTTGTGTTGAGGACTGGGAAAATGAGATGACATGGCCCTTGAGCTCTGCTCTACCTGCAGGAACCCCTGTGCACTCAACCTCTGGCCTATCCCTGTCTGGCAAGGAGGCGAGGGCTGAATGCAAGGGAAACCAAACCCCATGTGAAAAATGTGGGAATTCAGCCTAGTTAAACTAATCTATAAAATGGATTGGATGGGGAAAAAAAAAAGACAAATGCTCACTGGACTGCGAAATGATCCGCTGGAAATTGGAGTGTGGCACTGACAGCTGCTCTTGATGGAGCCCTGTGTGTCAGGAAAAGAAGTGGTAGCAATAACAGGTTTGGCAGGTCCTGGGGGATCCTGGGGGAGTGATGGCCTGACCCTCCTTGTCTGGGGGATCCAGCCCTTTCCAGGCCTGAGGGATTAAGTGGATCTGGTGACTGCAGGGGATGAGTGCTATTTTCACACACCCCCAGTATAAGTGGTCCTGTCAATGCCCAGGATTCCTGTGCATGCCCTGTGGCCTGCCTGGGGCTGCCTTGGCCATCGTTACTCTGCCCATCCTGTGCATCCTTCCCCTGCCCATCCTGTGCCCACTTTCCCTGTGCATCTCATCCACCATTCGCCTGTTCATCCCATCCACCATTCCCCTGCTCATCTCGTGCACCCTTCCCCTGCCCATCCCAGACATCCTCCTTCCCATTCTGGGCATCCTTTCCCTGCCCATCCCAGACATCCTTCTCCTTCCCATTTTGGGCATCCTTCCCCTGCCCATCCCAGACATCCTTCTCCTTCCCATTCTGGGCATCCTTTCCCTGCCCATCCCAGACATCCTTCTCTTTCCCATTCTGGGCATCCTTTCCCTGCCCATCCCAGACACCCTTCTCCTTCCCATTCTGGGCATCCTTTCCCTGCCCATCCCAGACATCCTTCCCCTTCCTATTCTGGGCATCCTTTCCCTGCCCATCCCAGACATCCTTCTCATTATGGGCATCCTTTCCCTGCCCATTCCAGACATCCTTCCCCTTCCCATTCTCAGCATCCTTTCTGTGCCCATCTTGTACATCCTTCCCCTGCCCATCATCATCCCTCTTGGTCCTTTGTTTTCCCTCCTTCCCCTGCCTACAGGGAAGCAGTTCTTCTCATGTCTTTGCATCCCCTCTCTCCAGCCAGCCGAGTCCAGCTCCTCCCCAGGCCCCAGCCCCCCTTTTCCACCCTGTTGCCCAAAGTCTCTTCCCTCTCCACATCTCTGGAGTATGATTACTCCGCGCCCTGGGTGAGAGCAGGAGAAATATGTGCTGAGATGACATTTCCGTTATACATGATGCTATTAAAATATGATAAGAACGCTATTAACATTAATAATCCTTTTCATTGTATCATTTAGGGAGCAAAACAAGCCATTAAATATTACGGAGTCATTGGTGCTTTGATGGCTTCAGGGAGGGGAACATTTGGCCGTATTTGTCTACATGCACTCTGGAAATATAACATTATCTCTGGGAAATGGGTTTCTCTGGGCTCGGCACCTCCGTGGATCCAGGATGGTCTCCGATGTGCCGGGGTGGGTGGGAATCATGGAATGGGCAGGTTGGGATGGCTGGGTCCCAGGTGAGGCAGCAGAGGTGGACGTGGCACCTATGCAGCCTTCTTGGAGCCCAGGGAGGGGGGACAGGCCGGGGTCCCCCCCGGGCAGGGTGCAGGGGGTGTCTGTGTGCGAGGAGGCTGAGATGGAGATGCCTTGTGTTGCTCATACCCGTGGGAGGAGATTTCATGGGTTGGGAGGGGCTGCTCAGCCCAGTGCAGGGTTGCAGACAGTTGTGGACACCTCTTTTCAACTTCAATTTCCGCCTCCCCAGGCCGCTTCCTTCTCCAAGGTAACTGCAGGAGTTACAGCAGAGGAACCCCTTGAGCTGGGATTAGCTCAGATGGTCAGAGCCTGGTGCTAAGAACGCCAAGTTTGTGGGTTTGATCCCTGTATGGTCCATTCACTTAAGGGCTGGACTCGAAAATCCTTGTGGGTCCCTTCCAACTCAGAATATTCTGTGATTCTGTGAATTTCCCAACTTTAACCACGTGGTCCAGACCAGAAACTCTCAGCTCGGAGTAGGCAGCACCGAGTCTGCTCCTTGGTGCTCCCAGCCCTGTCACACCACTCAAACTCACTGCAATTTACCCAGACCTCAGCGTAAATCTACCTACTCCCCCTGCTGCCGTGCTCAGCCCCGAAGTTCATCCGTGTGGGAGTTCCCTGGACATGGAAGCATTAGCTCTTAAACGCTCTGAAAGGCACCTCCCTCCAGGCACGTCCCCAGAGAGGACCGGTTCCTGCATCCCTAATGCTCTGCCTACACTGGTTATGCTCAGTCTGAGGCCTGGCAGCTCCATCCCCTTTCTGCACAGCCAGCCACTGGGGACAGAGCAGCAGGGACCTGAAATCCTTCTCTTTTAGCTGGAAAACCCTCTTTTTGGGACAGCTGTTAAATTCCTGAATCACCCTTCACTGTATGGCTACAGCTGGGCAGGAACCTGCTCCTTCCCCAGCCCATCCTCTGAATCAAGCCATCCAAAATCCAGGCTGTGAAGTGGCATCAGGGCATGGGATCAGCATCATGCTCTGGTCTTGAGAGCTGGGAAACCTTTTGAAACCCACAGGCTCACTGGTGATGCTACTGCTGGGGGCCAGCCAGGGCGGCGGGGAGGCCTGAGCCAGGCTCGGGATGCGTCCCCAGGCTCACCAGACACAGCTCAACATGCTGGGCAGGGATGAGGCAGCCAAGCCAAGGCCCCTGAGCTGATCAAATGCCACCAGGGCCGTTGTTATCTGGATATTTTCCCATGGTGACAGGAGCAAATGAGGGAGAGAACTGAAAAATGTGCAGAAGCTTTTGACAGGACTGTCAGAGCACTAACAAGGACGAGTGTGGGCTCTTTAAACAAATCACTGTCATGTTGCAGGCATATCATTGTTTAACACAGCCACCACAAGTCACCAGAAAAGGTTAAAGCAAGAATGGAAGACTTAGTCCTAGGAAATGTGTCATAGGAGAGCTGTCCTCGGGACTGATCGCTTCCTCCCTGCAGCCAGGATGGCTTTAGGTCTGGAGCCTGGAGTCCTTGAAGCATCCTTGGGATGGACCTGCCACAGTGCTTGGTGCTGGAAAGACTTCCCTGTGGGTGTGGGCACACCAGCAAAAGCACTACCAGGAACACCTATTCCCTCTGCCCTGCCCTGGTGAGGGGCTGAGGGAGAGACTTGGCCCTGTGCACTGACAGCCAAATGCAAACACAGACCTACAGCAACAGCCCTGGGATGCTCCAGGGATATGACCCAGGCAGCTCTGGGGTGGACACACTGCTTACTAGGCTCTGAGCTCCCCGGGTTTGCCTGGAGAGACCTCTTACTGTGGTATGGTTGTCCAGGATCCATCATTCAGGAAGTCTCAGGTGGCTTTGACATCACGGGCTCACTGAGTTCTCTGTGAGGACCAGTCCTCTCCTCACAGCTGTGCATGGCAGGACCAAAGGTTTGGGGGTGTGACAGCAGGGTCCTGTCCCTGGGCACTGTCCTGCTCCATCCATCCCATGGTGAAGGGACTGGAGCACAAGTGCTGTGAGGAGAGGCTGAGGGAGCTGGGGGGGCTCAGCCTGGAGAGGAGGAGGCTCAGGGGAGACCTCCTGACTCTCTGCAACTCCCTGACAGGAGGGGGGAGCCAGGTGGGGGTCAGGCTCTGCTCTCAGGAATGAGCAGTAGGACAAAAGGGCTGAGTCTTCAGCTGTGCCAGGGGAGGTTTAGGTTGGATATTACGAAGAAATTTTTTACAGAGAGGGTGATCAGCCATTGGAATGGGCTACTTATGGAGGGGGTGG